AGTGCCGAGGCGACGTTGATTGTGTTCGCGTTCACTGACTCGTAAAACCAATGCAACGTAACACAGCACGACACTGCCACACCATACCGAACAACAACACCACCAAACATCCGCAACACCAACACTTAACACCAACCAGCGGCAGGAGCAGCAGTAGTAGGCGGACATGTTCAACGCCATACTCACTGCCATGACCCACCCACACACACACACGCGCGCGCACACACACACACACACACACACATATCACGCACCGCTGTTCAAGCTGCTCGGTCTGCTGGTCGAAGATGGGCATGAGGTCATCGTAGTCCTCGGCCACGGCCTTGCGCACGCTCAGTTGGTCCAGCAGCGCATCCGCGCTTGCCAGCCAGAGCACCACGTCGTCGGCGCCAGTACCACTGGGCCGGCTGGCGTCGGCAATCTCTGTTGCCGGGTGGAAGAGCTCGTCGAGATGGTTTGCACGCACAGCGCTGGCTGCTGTCCCGCGCAGGGCCGGCAGCGCCACGTACTCCAGTTCCGGCAGCGCAGAGAACACCGTCCTGCAGATGGCACATGCGTAGGTGTCTGTTGGTGGCGGTGGTAACGGGTGTGTGCATGTGAGTGAGTATTTGTGTGAGTATTTGTGTGTGTGTGTGTGTGTGTGTGTGTGTGTGTGTGTGTGTGTGTGTGTGTGTGTGTGTGTGTGTGTGTGTGTGTGTGTGTGTGAGTATTTGTGTGTTTGAGTGTGTGTGTCTGACTGTGTCTGACAGGAGCAAGACAGGCCACACAAGTACCAGACACACACATACACACACACACATTCATACACGCTTGCGTTCGCCCCTTGATACCCCCCTCCTGCCCCCGCCTTGCATACGTTTGCGACGAGTTGCAGGCCGATGGGCATGTTGCGTGAGGAGACACGGCAGGGCACCGCCATAGCGGGGAGGCCGGCCAGGCTCGGGCCAACCGTAAACACGTCCGTCGCAAACTGCTGCAGCACCTGAGAGGAGCGGAGTCATAACAGCAAAAACATGGAGCGGAGGCGGAGTCAATGATAGTGAGGGACAAATTAAACACAACACGCACACAAGCGTCCACACTACCACGTGCAAGCCACACAACACAACACAGCAACAGCTGCAGCGTGGCGCACGTCTGCATTTGGGCTGAGTGCATCGGTGATGAGCGGGGCGTCGGAAGACGTGACTGGCATCAGCACAACATCCACGCCCTGAAGCGAAACATGTAATGTATGTGTGTGTGTGCGTGTGTGTGTGTGTGTGTGTGTTTGTGTGTGTGTGTGTGTGTGTGCGCGCGCGCGTGTGTGTGAATGTGTGAGCTGATGATTCGATGGTCGTTGGCTGACATTGCAAACTGGGGATCGTGCTCACACGTGTGCACATGTGTACACGCACTCAAACACACGTGCAACCATAGTTTCGTTCACGCAATGACGAAAACATGGACACGCGCGCGCACATTTTGCAGTGCGGAAGCAAAGTCTGCTTGAATCAGGCGACGCACACGCTGTGCTTGGACATAAAAGCTCTCATATGACCTGAAATCGGTGGGAGGGGGAAGGAGCCGTGGTGACAAGGGCGGTAGTCAATGGGGGGATATGAGCGGGCGGAGCCACAATGGAGGACAAGGCAGGTGTACGTCATGCCACACACGTCGCACACCGCACGCAACTTGTGCAACTTGTACGCAAGACAGCCGCAAGACAGCACAATGCAACCACAAGACAGCCACCACGAGCATACGCATACGCACGAGCGCACAGGCACAACCATAAGGCCTTGAAACGCACGCGCGTGTGAGTGTGAAAGTGCCTGTGAGGATGCGGCGGGTGACCTCGGGCCCAAGACCGGACTGCCGCGAAGATTCAAACAGCCGGCGGTACGACGCGTGGGACGCTGCGCTCCCAGCACGCTCCCCTGTTTGCATCGAGAGGGTGGTGCATGATGGTGGGATGGAAGGTGTTGGCATCCATGGTGTGGTCCAACAACACACGCACGCGCACGCACACGCACACACATACACACGCACGCACACGCACACGCACACGCACGCACACGCACACACATGCCGCAGCTGCTGGGAGTGTTGTCATCGTACGCACCGTAGAACATGCCGGTGTATCGGGCAAGGTTGGAGCTCGCCTCTGCCGGCGCCAACACGCAATAGCACGGCAGCGCTGTACGCACACACACACACACACATGCACACATGCACATGCACGCACGCACAAACGGAGATCAGAACTGAAACAAAAGCGAGGCGCAGCTACAGCAACGGCACAGAGACTCATGTACAAATAAACGCCCATGTCAGCACACCAACCGTTTTTGAGGTTTGGAAGGGAGATGTAGCGGACAGTGGCGCCGCTTGCCTGCAGCGCGTCAGCAGCCTGCGCAGAACACAACAGCATGAATGCATGCAACACAACACAGTGCACAAATGGAGCACACAACGGCTTCGTTTATACACACAAACACACACAACACACACACACAAACACAAGACACACACACACATAAGCACACACACACACACATAAGCACACACAGCAACGCACGCACACACACACAATAGCGCACGCGATACCTCGGTCCACGCGGCAGCCACGTCGTCGCTCAGTTCCTCGATGAAGCACTCCCTTGGCAGACCGACCACCATCCCTTCCACGTCCCCATACTCGCTCCCCAGCGGTAGCCGGCTGCCAGGCGCCTGTGCAGTGAATACGCGTGTGTTTGCATATGTGTGTGTGTGTATGCGTGTGCATGTGTAAGTGTGTGCGCGTGCGTCTGTCGGTTTGTGCTTTCTGCACGTGCGTGCATGCGTGCGTGTAAATGTGTCTGTGTCTGTCTGTCGGTCTGCACCTTCTGCACTTTCTGCACCTTCTGCACTTCTGTATGTGTGTGTGTTCCCTTGACCACAGAGGCCAGGCAACCACTGGTGGCGAGCAGCTGACCTGGACTGATGCAGCGTCACGCGGATCGTGGCCCGCCATGGCGTCCACCATTGTTGCGGCATCGTCAACCGTGCTCGCCAGAACACCAACCGTATCCAGCGAACTGTTGCCGACAAAAGGCAGGTGTGTGGGCGCGTGTGAATGGCGGTTGTTCACCAAAGAGGGAGGCAAGGCAACAGGGCAAAACGATACAGGAGGGGAACACTGGGCAAGGTACAAGCGAAACACAGGTATGTGCGTGTATACACGCACTCAGAGACAAACACAAGCTGGGGCGCCCTCACCTGGCGTATGCTGTCATGCCCATGCGAGATAGCAAACCATAGCTTGGCTTGAAGCCAACTACTCCACAAAACGACGCTGGCAGCCGCACGCTCCCGCCTAATCGCAGCCATCACATGCGTTGCAAGTGTGTATGTAGATGTGTGTGCATGTGTATGTATGTAGATGTGTGCATGTATGTGTACATGTTTTTGAAATGAACCAAAATAGCCTGTGCTGGTGCTCACGGTGATGACAATTTGGTCAGTCCAGATGCTGCACGTGCTGAACCGTGACAACGAACCTGTGTCTGTGCCCAGGGCAGCGCGTGCCTGTCCCAGTGCCACTGCGACTGCACTTCCACCAGAACTGCCCCCGGGCACACACAACCCCTGAAGCAAGATGGGAACGTCAAGGTCAGGGCCTCACGCGCACTGCTGTTCTGCAAATGATACACACCTGAACTCCCACCGCCGAACGCACAGACGCACGCACAGACGCATGCACAGACGCACGCACAGACGCATGCACAGATGCGCACACACACACACAGACGCACACACACACACACAGACGCACACACACACACATAGACGCACGCACAGACGCACACACACACACACAAACTCACATCTGTTGCCCTCCATGGGTTGATGGTAAGGCCGTGAATGGGGCTGAAAGCACCATATGATCCCATGCCAAACTCATCCAAGGATGTCTTGCCCGTGATCTCTGCTCCTTCCTGTGAGAGTGTGTGTTTGTAAGTGTGTGTGTGTGTGTTTGTATGTGAAATTGCGTGTAAGTGTATGTGTGTTTGTAAGTGTGTGTGTGTGTGTGTGCGTGTGTGCGTGTGCGTGTGAGGGAGAACAGCAAGGCTGTGAGACGAGAGGATGGGATGCACACGACGGCAGTCAACACTGGTGCAGCCTGCAGACACACACACACACCCAATCACACACACACGCAAACTCCTCTCCCGATTGTCAACACACAAATTGCGACACGGAAGCACGCACGCTGCGGCATTTGCTGACGACAGTGGCATCGCTGGTTGGAACGAACGAGCGCAGCATGGATGATCCGCACGTCATGCGCTCATTGGCCACTGCAATGTTGTCTTTGACCATCACTGTGAACCCTGCCAGGCGTTGTTGCGCCGCTGCTGCACTCGCTGCTGCAGTGGCCACCTTGGAAGCCATGGCGAGGCTGTGTTGTGTGTGTGTGTGTGTTGTGATGTGTGTGTGTGTGTGTGTGTGTGTGTGTTGTGTGTGTGTGTGTGTGTGTGTGTGTGTGTGTGTGTGTGTGTGTGTGTGTGTGTGTGTGTGTGTGTGTGTGTGTGTGTGTGTGTGTGTGTGTGTTGAAGTGGTGGTGGTGAGCAGCTTCCGGGCGAACGATGATTCGCTGTGCTGTTTGCAGTATTTCTACAATTGCAGTGGGCGATTTTCAACGGAAGATATGCCGAGTGATGATTTTCGGTGATGAGCCCACGCAGAATTGCCTCTCGTGCCTTTTTCCTTGCTGCTCGCCCGACCCAGAACTCCAGCCACACACGAGGTGAGGCTGTGGTGCTGGATATGGGGTGCTGCCGCTGCTCCCCCTGTGGACGCGAACAGCAGCCCTGCATGTGTGTGTATGTGTGTGCATGTGTGTGTGTGTGTCATCATGGAAGCGCATGTGTTTGTGGGCACGCACGCACCTTAGTGTTGTCGTCGTGGTGTGTGTGCGTGAGATAGATGCACATGCAAGCAACGCAAGAAGGCATACGCCACTGCGCGTCACACACCACACACACACACCACTCACACACCACTCACACACCGTCATGCAACCCGCGCGTGTTGCAGACCGCGAAGATGGTGCGCATCAGTGTCCTGAACGATGCCCTCAAGAGCATCACCAACGCCGAGCGCGCTGGCAAGCGCCAGGTTCTCATCAGGCCATGCTCCAAGGTCATCATCAAGTTCCTCATGGTCATGATGAAGCACGGTGAGCTGACTCGCGTGCTGTGGTTCTATGGTTGCACCGGCCTGCCGTGTTTGTTCGTGGAATGCCTGCCATCATACGGCGGCCCGCAAACCTGCTTGCTGCGAGGGTGATCCCGCCACATGCTCGAAGACGAGAAAGCAAAGGAAGAGGATGATAGTGTGCCGGTGCTGCCACGACAGCAATGCGCGATTGTGGTTGTGGTCACGGGTCGTGGTTGGATGGATTGTTTCGAGGATTTCCTGCAGCGGCTTGAACGGAGATGGCAACAGCCAAACGTTGTTGGTGATGCCAGGATGGACGACCAGCAAAGACAAAACAGCAGCTGGAATGGGGTGGACGACTGTTCTTGTGCTGAGTGTGTTGTGGTGGCGCGCGGGCGCAGACACAACACAGCACGATGCTGCAGCCCGTCACAACCCGATGTTCCCGCTTTCGCCGTCCCGATTCCCCCCCCCCTCTTCTTTGTAGCTGACACCACACTGCACGCCATTGTCATCCTATCCGCTCACCCATCATGTCCTACTGAATTGCCTTTCCACACAACGCACTCACCAGGCTACATTGAGGAGTTTGAGGTCATTGACGACCACCGCGCGGGCAAGATTGTTGTGCAGCTGAACGGCCGCCTCAACAAGGTACCCTTGTAATGGTGATCCTTGTCGACCCATCGTGTGGTGTGTGTGTATGTGTGTGTGTTACTTGAGCGTCTTGTCTATTTCAATGTTCTCCATTGTGTTTACCACAAAGTGACAACCCTCCTCACGTGCCGAATTTGAATGATTGCTGCTGGATGTGTGTGTTTAGTGTGGCGTGATCAGCCCTCGGTTTGATGTTAAGGTGAAGAACATTGAGGAGTGGATGAGCAGCCTGCTTCCCTCTCGTCAGTTCGGGTAAGCGACTCACACTGTGAGGTGCCATGCATGTCTGGGTGGTTGTGTGGTTGTTGTTGTCGCTGTCAGTGGTGTGTGTGTATGTGTGCATTCGGCGTGTTTCGTTGAGTGTGTGCATGTCTACTGCCAGGTGCACAGCCATTTGCCAGTGTCTAGCGCCTTGTGATCCTCTCGCTGCAACGCACCCATTTGCCTCCCACTCACACATTCATATACCCTTTTCCCCTCCCTCCCTGTTTGTGCAGCCATCTGGTGCTCACCACGTCCAACGGTATCATGACACACGAGGAGGCGCGTAAGAAGCACACCGGTGGCAAGATCCTCGGCTTCTTCTACTGAGCTGCTTGTGGTGAACCTCCCCATTGTGTGTGTTTTGATCGATGCCTTTAATCTCCGTGCTGCTGATGCTGGCTTCTGTACTGGGTGTGCGGATGAGCGTGTTCCTCGCTACCCACCACCCGAGGTCCCAGTAAATGCCCCACAACACCGTCGTTGTCAATGAGCTAGCTGGCTGCGTGCCTTGAGTGGCCTCTGGTGGCTGTGTATGTTTACGAGTCGTGTACGCAGCTATTTGGGACAGGGGAGGGGGATACAGCGCAAAGCAGGCTTGGTTGGCACAAACGCACACACCCCACAGAGCGTGTGGAAGAGGGACACTGAGAGTGTAGTGCAGTGTCACGTGTGTAACAGGTGTGAAGGCAAGGTGTCACAAAGCAACGCCCGCAGTTGTTGCTTGCTTGCTACGATGTTGGTTTGCTGTCGCCGTTGTCTGGCTTTGTCTGTGGGGATGCCGAGGAGGCCGATGATGGCTTGCTGGGCCCCATCCAGTCAAGCGTTTCCACTTCAAGCTTGGTTGCCAGCTGCTTCTCCAACCACATGAGCAGCTTCAGCACGCGCGTCAACTTGACGTCTTGCCGTTGTTTCTGTAGTGTGTGTGTGTGTGTGTGTATGTGTGTGTGCGTGTGTGTGTGTGTGTGTGTGTGTGTGTGTGTGTGTGTGTGTGTGTGTGTGTGTGTGTGTGTGTGTGTGTGTGTGAGGACGTGCAGGGATTGAAAGGGAAAGTGCATGGTGGTGCGAGCAGGCCAAAGTATTGATGGAAGAGCAGGGTGCGCGCACCAATTGCTTGAGGATGCTTGTGTTGAGGTGTGTGGCAGTCTCTTGACGATGCTGTTGTTGCAGAAGGCGGGCCAGCGGCGAGCTGAAGCAGCGCGCAAGGGATGATTGTGAAGAAGGCGAATGTGCGCGAATAAACGGAGGGCGTGCATGACAATGTGGCTGAACAAGTAATTTCAATATCGCGTGGCGCACATGTATTCCTTTGAATCACGCACACACACACACACACACACACACACACACACACACACACACACACACACACACACACACACACACACACACACACAC